CAACATTCTAGTACAGCTTTTTCTTTTTGACAAACTTTGGAATGATAAAGAGGGAATCAAGAGGATTATCATGGACAATTGGAATTCTACGCAATTACCGACTAACGCCGATATCATGGCACCAATAAGAAGCTTGTGTCGTGCCCTTAATATCCGGAAGGGGGAAAATGTTCCAAACTCAGAAATTCTCATAGACACGCTAAAAAAAGATAGATTTTTTAACGCAAACAACACTGCTACTACAGTGGCGAAAAAAGCATTACACAATGCTTTGAAGGAGGAAGAGGCATACTGGTACCAGAAAAGCCGAGTTCTTTGGCTCCAGCTGGATTATAGAAACCCCAAAGTCTTTCATGCCTCGAGTAAACAAAGGAGAACCCAGAACCTAAATACGATTTGAGTAATATATGGAGAATTCATCTCAAAAGGACACTTTGCTCAAAACATAATCTCAAAACTCCCCCCCCCCCGCCATTAAAATGATTTTCTGTTTGAATTAATTTTAATCCGAAAAATAGGTAAGTTACCTTCTTACCGTAGCCAAAACTTAAAAATTACACCTTATACCCGGGTTTTATCCGCCCAACCCGAGAAATCGGATCGACCGGAAGTTGAAAAAACGAATGAAGGAGGAGAGGAAGCTCCAAGGGTTCATCCGTGGATTGAGAGTGAAGAAGAAAAAGAAGACAACGAGTCTCCTAAGAAAAAGAAGACGGGCAGAAAGGGGAAGAGAGGAGGAAGGGAGAAAATGAGTCCGCGGAAGAGAAGGTCGAAACCTATTATTGAGGAGGTAGTGGAAGATGATAGGGAGTTATCTCCGGTTGTCGAGAATCAAGAAGAAGATAATGAAGATGAGAGGGAGTCTCCAGCTCCTCCTCCGGCCGAGTCGTCAACCAACTAGGTTTGAATAGAAAATTCGAAAATTCAACTACTTGGTTTGAATAGATTTGGAGAGAATCAAATTGAATAGATTTGAATATTTGAATAGATAGGACTATATGTATTGGTAAAACTGGTATAACTAGGTTGAACTATGTGTCTTGGTAAAACTGGTACAAGTAGGTAGAACTATGTCTTATATAACTTGGTGATACTTGGTAAAAC